AATCGAATAAGAAATGTTGAATCGTCTGTGAAAAACTGTTTCTTTTTTTTTTTTTTTTTTTTTTTTGTTTACTTAATTTTTTATACATCGTTCTAGATTTATTATAGTATTTGAATAGAACATGTGGCATCGATTAGATAATTCTTCAAATGATAGAAATTTTGTGCCTTCTGAGTTATAATATGAACGAAATATAACGCTGTGAAGTGAACCTAGCGCCAGAGCGTCGCTATGGTAAACAAACAGAGTGAATTTTAATTATAAATACGTAAATTAAAATTCACTCTTTATTCTATTGTGGTTTATTCGCTATCGACGAAGTAGATTTAATTCAATCCAATAAGTTTAAATGAAATGCAAGAAAAAATGCATATAATTTAATATTCCGTACAAGGAAGTCACGTGGTGTACACGTCAGATTTTTTCATTTAACTTTGCCAAAATATACGTTTTACAAGTTCACCTTTCTGACCCCTTTACATATGACTTGGAAATATTATAACAGTTTATGTTCGTTTTATTAGCATGCAGCTCTTCCCAAAATTATTGCCAATACAACATTTCAGATTTCAGTTTTGAACAGTCTGCGACAGTGCAAATCGAGAAAGCAATGGAAAATAGTAGAAACGTGGACTCAATACTATCGCAATGCGCAGTAGCCTATCGTTATTTGCTTTGAATAATTTCTATTAAACGTGGTGTTTAAACTAAGCTCCAAAGCGCGGATCTCTTTTTACCTAACTTCGATCCGCGCTTTTCCTGGTAATTGTAGTTCTTAAAGAAAACGATTTATAGACGAAAATTTAGTTCAGTTAGTGACGTTATTTCAGCTGAATAAGATTCACTGAAACAGTTTTCATAAAATGCAGTGGCCACATGAATAAGGAACTAACTTCCAAACTTTGAAAAATTGACTGAATGATGGGACCGTTGCGTAAAATCTAAGAGAAAATCTCTTGAATAATATATTTTGTCTTGTATATGTGTTTCGTGATTTTACTATTATATTTATAGCTGTATTTCTATTTCATCTTAGCGCCTCCTATAATGTTTTTAAAAACTATTTATCTCCGTTATTTTTCAGATTTAAAAAATAATAAAAAATAAACAATTTATAATAAATTTTAAAAAATTATGAATTTTTCAGATTTTATATTACGCCCAAAGGAGCATTTTTTAACATTTTGCATGTTACCTTTATTTATTAAGTATCATGTTCTTAACACTTAAACCATAAAATTCAATTCAACAACAATATCGCAAAATAGCATATCTTTAGAATTTCCGATACACACAGCCTCGCGCGCTGGAGATATATATATATATATATTTTTTTCCATAGAGTGTTGCCATTGCTCGCTTTAAAATCGTTGAGTTTGTTAATCAAAAATTCGTTAACGTTTTTGATGACTCTAGGGACCGCTGTTTTATCACAATGCGAGAAACATATATACATTTATGTAGATTCTTCATTATTTATAATTTTTAAATATAATACAGGGCGACAATTTGAAAAGTCATTCAGACTTTTATAGTGATTTTCACGCAAAATGCCCTTTCAAGATGAACTAACCCCCCTTTGGGCTAATAAAAAGAAAAATGTAATTTTTTTCCTTCCTGTTGTCAAGTTCTCGAATGTTTATTTATTAAACAGTTAAAAGGAAGTTGTAGGTTAAGAAAAGGAAGAAGGAGAAGGATTATTTTAACATTTCCTTTATCAAGATTTATTCCAACTGCTGTAGGTGATTGCTAGTCAGTTATTGCATATTTGATTACAAGTATAAATTATGTTATTTACATTTTTTTCAGCAATTATAATACGCGTTTGCGGGTTAAATGATGACTACATTTGCATTCTGATGATTTTCAGTTTTTAACACAGCTTTTAATCTTAACCTGTTATATAAGATGGATATGTGTCGAGAGCAACTCAACGCTTGTGTAAACGTAATTTTTCTTATTCTTCACGGTTTGGCAATACTGTAGTTTTTAGTTTTATGTTTGGAATATTACAAAGAAAGGCGGAAATGCGCCATGTTTTTGCCCCGCTGAGATGGATTGCCTGGTTTATTTTGATTACTTACCCCCCCCCTTTTTTTTTTTTTTTTTTTTTTTTTTTTTTTTTTTTTTTTTACTGGAGAACCGATAGAATGAATGGAATTCATGTGGAGTCTCGCAGCAACATGCATGCATTACATCGACATTTAATTTCGTTTTATTTTATAAAAAGTACTTGTGTAATATTAAACACATGGTATTTAAGATATAGGATAAATTTAGTTTTCTTTGTAATATCTTTCCTTACCTTGCATACATACGTATAAATTATAAATTTTAGAGATTGTATGCTTTTTTGTAACAGAAATTGATAAACACTTCTGGGGACACATTTATGATTCCAGGCTATGCAAGCTAGGGAGTACTTTTTTGTTTAATTAACAAAGTTTACACCTTCGATAAAAATACATACTCTCGTGAAAACTTACTCTTCTCGATTTAATTTGCTTTATCAGTGAAAGCAGGTTATTTTATGAATACAGGTTTGTTATCATTTTTGTAATTCATTTTTAGATCAATTTTGTGTTCAGATGAGGTAAAAAGAGATAGTATTTAAAGGAAGGTGTTGCATTGTAGAATCAGAGCGTACTCCGCCTGCTGAAGGCTGCGTTACCAATCTCTTGATAGCAGTTTACTGGGGTGTTTCGTTATTCTCGCCATTAGGCTTCTCGCAACGTGCGCGGATTCTGTCTGTGTTGGGCTAACTTACGATTTACTTAGTTAAGTTAAATTCTTTACTTTTATTTTATGCCATAAATGCTGGCTGATTTTGTAAGCACGGGCAGTGGCTTCTGTAAATCTATTGGTTTTAATGAATGAGTCCTTTACACTCTTTCAGTCTCTGCTGTAGTTGTACACTGCGGGAAAAAAAAAAAAAAAAAAAAAAAAAAAAAAAAAGTTCGATACCTCCCTTTCTACTCGGTCGATTGAGAAATACAACTTGCGTTTTTCATGTCTCGAAAGCACGACTTAGGATATGTATTAAATTTTTTTATAGCATTGTTCTAATATAGGTATTTTGACACAAAATAGGATTTTTCTGAAATGACATGTCAATTTTTTTCCATATTTTGATTCTACGACTCAAACTATGCCAAACAGCCGAGTTTTGTAAAAACTGCACGAGTAGTTTTTAAAAAGGTAGCTCTCAAAATTTTACCTCCTCCATGTTAGTTGAATATTGTATATATTTATTAATATCTCTTTTTTTATTAAATTTGTTTAATTCTTCCTTTCAAATTTCGAAATTTAGGTTCATTCCGAATGAAATTCGCCCATTTTTTATGATTTACTTTTAAAATTTGTATTTTTAAATCATTTTTATAAATATTTTGGAAAAAAAATGTGAATTATAACCTGTAAAAGTTTTACCATCATTTTAAAGTACATGTGTTTGTAAGCATACCTACAAAAAATTAGAGCTTTTCATTCAAAATTTCCTAAGATATACGTGAAATTACATATTGGCGCGTTTTGAAATTTGGCATATTTTGTTATAAGCGATAATAACGCCAAATGTGGTTTACGCACTTTGTAAAAATTATATGAAAGCATGAAGGATGATTTTTTCCCGCTTCTGTACAGTGACAAAAAGGAAAGGAAAATAAGTTGCTATAAATTAAAAAGCATACCAAGTGAATCATTCGTGGAGCAAACTGGAAAAACATGCGCCAAGATAAATTTTTTTAATTTCTCACCAAATATTGCAAAATTTAATATCTAGGCGTAATTTGAATCGTACAATCGAAATATGGGGGAAAATGGCATTTTATTTCAGAAAAAGTCCTAGTTTGTTTCAAAATACCTATGTCAGAATAATGCTATATATTAATCTAATGTATATGCGAAGTCGTGCTTTCGAGACATGAAAAACGAAATTTGAATTTCGTGAACCGGCCCAGCAGAACGGGAGATATAGAACTGCTCCCCCTTTTTTTTTTTTTTTTTTTATTTTTTTAAGCGCAGTATGCATTCCAAGAATTCGTTTAAGTTTTCCAGAGTTCTCATCTAGTTTATGTTACCAAAGAAGGTGAGACTCTATAATACATACCCTTATATACCGAAATCGAAATTATTTTTCATAACTCAGGTATTTAATGTGCATCTTCAAAATGTATCTTTTATATGTGTGTACTATATTTGATCTTAAACAAAAAGATGAACTTAAAAAGAGCTGAAAAGAACTTAAAAAATAAATAAATAAAAATACACCCTCTGGTGATTTCTAAATCTGATTCGAATACTGTAATGTGTAATAAATTTGGGCCTAGTGAATATGTGTTGAATCTAATTTAAATGCATATAACCCGCATAGCACAAAAACGTTCTTGGGATATCCTAAGGATGCTGCTCGCGGGATATGCGCGCATCCTCATGACATCCTGGAATATTCCCTGAACCTCCTAAACACATCTTCCCGAGTGCTTAATGTCACATCCCAGCATATCCTCATGACATCATAAGTCCCATCGACAGCATACGGGATAGTATTAGGATCTGAATTCCTACTTTCTACATCCTCAGGACATTGCACTAGCCTCCTAATCCCATCTCATTATATCCCAAGAACATCCTATCTAGGTCCCGTAAACAGCGTATGGGATGTTATTAGGATTAAAGTCCTACTTACATCGTATCTAGATTCACTAGACGTTACTAAAATATATTTAAACATCTATTAGATATCCAGAAATTTGTAAAAAAAGTTCAATTGGCGTTCATTAGATATAATTTGTCTACAACTGCATAACTGAAATATATTTTATGTATATATTAAAAGCTACCGTTGGCGACATTAAATGGATAACTTTTACGCAACGGAGGAACAATAAGAGCAATTTATGATTAAATTTAATTGGAAAATATGAAATATATCTTACACAGAGGAATAATCCTTCGCAATTTCAGTAAATGTATTTTGTGTGAAAATGATAACACAGATCTTTAAGCAACTTTTTATTCACATTTTTCATACATTACAATTTCATACACTTTTTTAAATTTGTTTACAAAAACATTCATTTCTCAATATTTATATTACACATACGCAAGTGCACTTATTGAGGAAATAGTTCTCAATTCTGTGAGCACCTTTAAAGTTTAGATCTAAAAAGCAATGACTAAAACTTTCATATTCTTCAAAAAGTTATTTAGAACAAATATACTTTGAATTGAAACGACGTCATACAAAAATTTCATGGTCCGAATCGGAATGAGATCCTTGCAAATGAATTCCCGAATCGTAGGATTCCATATCTTCATGCAAATAGTATAAACTTGTTATAGAGCTAGATCTCCTGTAAGGAGGCGCCATCTTTCTGCATCGGAAGCATATTTCAGATTTGTCGATGAAGATGAGAGGCCTGGAATCGTCATTTGCGTTCGACGTCGCCCGATGACGCTGTTTGGAGTCTTCCTTCCGATACCGACCGCGATATTTTGTGCATCTATTATAGTGGTGGTGGTGTTTGTGGGGCTTAAAGTCGGTACTGGTGGCTGAAAGACTAGAACGAGATGACAGAGTAGATTCTGGAGAAGTTTCTGGAAGTTCTCCCGGATCTGAGAGTGATTCTAGACTCGGGGAATTGCTATCTCTACTTCTATCCACTGGATCTTCTATATCGATGTCATCGCCATCATCGTCATCGTCATCCATGCATAAGGCGCTGTGTCGCTGCCGTTCTCGTAATTCCGCAATAGAATCGTGTAAAGACAACAGCTGCCGGAAGAGGTCATTGTCTTGAGCAATCAAGGAACTCTAAAAGTAAAAAGATTAAAAAAAACATTAAAAATATATAACGCCATATATAATTATGTTAAAAAAAGTAATTAAATTGAAAAAAAAACATTCTATATTATTACTAGCCCAAAGGGCACGCATCTCTGTACTCGAATCCTTCATTAAATTACTTTATAACAGGACACGGACCCTTTCCCACATATTTCTACACAAGAAATAGGGCGAACTTTGATATCTGCATATGTGGGGATCAGGGAACTCCTGATCATTACACTTTCTCATGCCCCTTAACTGAGGATATTCACATAAAATCCCCACGAACTGATCACCTTGCATTCCAAAGGTTTCTAATTAAAGATAAACATCAGTATCCAAAGTTTCAAAAAATTATGCAACGATTCTCTTCCTACGGCCTAGATCTCTGTCAAGTGCAAGTCCACATGTTGCATAAATTTAGTGAACTTTTGCATGCTGTGATTATGGACAGAATGACTCCACTCATGAACTTTATAAACTATAATAAACCTTCATATTTGAAATAACCCATAGACGCCCGCCTCTTTAGCATTATTATTACAATTGATTATAACATTGTGTTGCCAGTACTAATTATAATTATCTCATTATGTTTATCTGTTTACTAATTATGTTTATCTCCTATTTTTGTTGCACCAAATCAGATGTTCAATTTAATTTGTGAATTTCAAATTGTATTCAGACTATTTTGTAATTTACTTATGTCCTACATCATTATTTTAAATAAATACCAGATGCGTTGAGATTGCACGATATACCATAGCAGGCAAACTCTACACCATTTGAAAAGCTTCAGTCTATGTAACTTCTTATAAAACTTGCAATCTCCCCCTTTTTTTATGAAGTTAGTATGGGAAGGCATTCTCAGTTGATCTATGGAAGTTAGTACGGGAAGGCATTCTCAGTTGACCTATTGAAGTTAGTATGGGAAGGCATTCTCAGTTAACCTATGGTATCGCTGGTGTCCCCCCTACTTTTACCTGTACCTGTACCTATTATTTTCGTTTTGGCATTTTGCGTCGTTTTTAAATTGTTGATACCTAATATTAGACTCATGAATTATATTTAAAGAAATTAAATGATTAAGAATCTGCATAAATATATATAAGTTTCTCGCACTGTGAATAAAACAACGGTGCCTAGAGCCATCCAATTTTGAATAACGTACGTTTCCACCCGAATAACCGCATCTGGAAGCCCAAATTTGGAATTTTTTTATTATCGGTTTCATATTATGTAAAGCATTTATAAGTTTTTCACTAAGAAACTCAACGATTTCAAAGCGAGCAATGGCAACACTAAAATTTAAATTAAAAAATTTTTTTTTTCTCCAGCGGGAGGCGCGGGACGGTGTATCGGAAATTCTAAAGATATGCTCTTTTGAATATTTTGTGACATTGCTGTTGAACTGAATTTTATGGTTTAAGTGCGAAGGACATGATATTTAATAAATAAAGGTAGCACATAAAACGTTAAAAAAAAGTCCCTTTGGGCGTAATATAAAATTTGAAAGCTTTCAGTTTTTATTATTAATATTACATTTATAATGACATTTTTTACCCTGATGATACTTTATTATCAGTATATTTGACCTATTTGCTATGATAATACATATTTCGTACATGCCACGGTATTCAATGATCTTTGTCATTTCTATTATTAAAAATTAAGAATATGTGAATACGTTAATTGGTCATACAATGAAAAGGCGATGCCACCGACAGCTACCAAATTTTGAAAAAGGCGTAGTCTAGCACCCGAACAAGTGTGTCTTGAAGCTCGAATTTTAAATTTTATTTTTGTTAATTTTATATTCTATGAGAGTTTAACGAATTTTATATTTAAAAAGATTCATGAAATTAATGTGTGAGTTTGTTTTTTACATCCTTTTTACTTTATCCGTTTTCTTAGAAGACATAGCGATCAGTCGCTGTAGTCTTCCAGAGTCGCGACGTATTTAATGTTTTCCCAGAAGAAGAGACTACAAACTTAATGATAATATTATGAGATATAGAGCAGACCAGACGGACTAAACTTGATTAATACAGAAGAATTTACGCATGAAATTATTACCATAGGCCCAACCATTTAAAAAAATCTAGTTAAATAAATTTATCTCCCAATTTTTACCTGAATGTTGAATAACTGTACACTTTATACCATAAATACAAGACGTAAAGCAGGAAGAAATTTTTCAAATTTTTGCACTAACTTTCTTTTACGTAAAATGTAAATTCTGTGGATTATAGTAAGAAACATTCGATAGTTTACAATAATTTTGAAATTTGAGGTGCTTTTCTTGGAATGTGCGACTGCTGAGTATGAGCCATTTTTCTTACAATTTTTAATGCTAATGCAAATGTATTCTTTCTGAAACGTCATTTTTTTTTTTTTTTTTTTTTTTTTTTTTTTTTTAAACAGAATACTGTTATCATCGAGGCTGAATAACTGGTCTCTCATGTCGCTGTAGCGACACTAAAAATATATACATATATATAAAACCAAGCTACTTTTGTGTAATCATAGAACATCAATTGGCATTTAAAAACAAAATTTTTAAAAATGGCTTCAAAAACGAGGAATTTGCCGAAATCCTTATTTTTTCACAATTTTAAATTTTGCAAAGCTTAGCCCTTCAGTTTGAATTTCGAATTGAAGAAAATAATTTTAAAGTGACTAATATAAATACATATGGGAAATATAAATACATATGGGAAATATAAATACATATGGGAAATATAAATACATATGGGAAAATTACCAAAACGCCTATGCAAATCAGCCCGTTTGCGGGATTTGAAGCCAAATGAACTACCAGTGCTCACTGGTGTTATTTCCTCAAACAGTAGTATAATAGTAAACTAAAAGGTACTGCTTATGGGTACTGCTTACGGGTTAGTTAATAGACTGAACGTATACATAATAATTATAGTTTGATAAAATTTATTTTACCAAAAGGAGCACTTCACAATTGTGAAACTTTCCACAAAAATACTCGTAGAGTTCTTCTCAGTATCATACAGTACAATCAGTAGTTACACTTCAAACTACTAAGAACGTTAAAAACACTACGGCAATGCAAAGCGCATCTAAAGAGCGAAGCTCACACGGTGATATCTCAATATTCTGAACTCACGCTTAACTAAACAACTACTCAATTGATACTTTGATACTTCGGTGAGTATAGTACCACACAATAGGGAAGAAAGGTCCTGCTCCTGCCAGTTCTTAATTATTTACTCAGTCATGGTACCAATTACATTTATACATCAACAGGGCTAAAATGTCGCCAGATGGTCGCCATGTTTGGCTACTTTTGGCGACAAAATTAGTCGCCAAAACATCAGCAGCTTGCGGATATCTCACCTATTTAGCCAGCCAGCCATTTAATGTTAAATAGACTTGCCCCTGTATAACGCTTGTGGCAAAGCTTCACCTTTAAAGGTTTTTTATGCTACATTATACAAAAGATGCTACAATTTCACTAAAATGATTCACATATTTTCAAAATTCGTAGCAGTATAAAATGTTTCTATTTTCATATAATACTTTATTCTTTATTGATATTAATAAAGTATTATATAATACATGAAAACTTTTTAAAGAAAAGTTTAAAATTTGACGCTAAATTATTTTTCCGCGCGAGAGAACATAATTAACACTTATAGCATGACATTTTATAACTAGTGTCGTTCTTTAACGCAGATCTTAAAAAAATAAAAAATTAAAATCTGAAAGGTTTCAGATTTTAAATTACGTCCAAAGAGGAGTTTTTTAACATTTTGCGTGTTACCTTTATTTATTAAATATCATGTTATTTGCTTTTAAATCATAAAATTCAGTTCAACAGAAATAATTTTAAAATGAGCACATTTTTAGAATTTCGGATACTCAGTTCCGCGCACTGGAGATAAAAAGGTTTTTTTTCCCCGTAGAGTGTTGCCATTGCTCGCTTTTAAATCGTTGAGTTTGTTAATCAAAAAGTCGTTAAAGTTTTACAAAATATGAAATCGATAAAAAACAAATTCCAAATTTCAAATTTGTGCTTTCAGATCCCCCCTATTCGCAATAGGATTACGTCATTCAAATTTGGATGGCTCTAGGTACCGTTGTTTTATCACAATGCTAGAACACTTACATATATTTATGCAGATTCTTGATTATTTAATTTATTCAAATATAATACAGACGATAGTATTTGGTGGCAACGATTTGAAAAGTGATACGCGTTTATAGGGTTCCGATACAAAATCGCAAAACAAAAACAATAGTCCTTCAGGGACAAAGCCCTTTGGGACTAAAAATACTAACATAATCGAGTGTATATTCTCAGTTTGAATATTAATATCATTATTTCAAGGTTGCTTACAACCTTTCTGTGTCATTCCTAAAGAAATCAGCTAACTTATCATAGAAGATCCGTTTTACGTGCGTCATGGGAATTGTGTTCCCTGAAATTTTGCTAGTTTTGAACTACCAGGCACTTTTCATCATCAATCACTAAAACGATTAAAAAAAGGAGAATTTTTTTCATATGACTGAGGAGCAATTCAGGTGTTTACACTTTCTCTTCGATTAGAGATAATAAGTTCATGTGGTACCCACTTGCCAAGCTTGGAAATGATTCCAAGTTTCTTCGTATGGCGATGGACAATCGACGACGATAATCATCGTCTTGCCAACTCATCAACAATTCGTTTAACTGCAAATTTCATATCATTATTTAAAGAAATAAAGCGCCTAGAAGGTGTTTTTCAAGATAAGGTCGTGTAGTCGAAATCTGACGCAACCAATCGTTGGCATCTGCGAATATTAAAAAAAGAAAAAAATGTTCACACTTCCCTCCGCATCGTTTATAACATTTGATGCACTATTGATGTTGTATACTTATAAAGCAAGACGTGTGCGGAATATTTCATACCAGATTGTTAAAACAAGTGTAAGGTATTTCTCCCGCCTTCTTAGCAGGCCTTCGTAGTGTA